GGAAACTGCAGCAGTGGAAACTGGAGCAGTGGAAACTGCAGCAGTGGAAACTGCAGCAGTGGACACTGCAGCAGTGGAAACTCTGTCTCTTATACACATCTAGATGTGTATAAGAGACAGACCATACTATACGATCGTACTACCGGAGTGCATAGCGCTCCTCTCTCTCTCTCTCTCTCTTCCCCCCCCCCTCGCTGTGTGTGTGTGTGTGTGTGTGTGTGTGTGTGTGTGTGTGTGTGTGTGTGTGTGCTATGTGAACCGTTTGCAAGTGCTTTTTGTGCTACGTGAACGTGGTGCTTGGTGGTAAGTGTACTGGGTGCTTCATGCTTTCTGAACTCGGTGGCAAGCGCTTCGTGCTCCGGGGCTTGGTGCTTTGTGCTACGTGAACTCGGTGCTTGGTGCTATGCGAACTTGGTGCTTGGTGCTACGGGATTCGGCGGTTGGTGCTACGTGAACTTGGTGCTTCGTGCTTTGTGCGGTTGGTGCTACGTGAACTTGGTGCTGTTGGTGGTACGTGAACTTGGTGATTCATGCTTTCGTGAGTTTGGTGCTTCTTCGGTGCTTCTTGCTAGGTGCTTTGTGAATTGATGGGACGTGCTTCGAGCCACGTCTTACGTCCTCTGTCTTTCTCTTTGTCTGTCCTCCCACTCTCTCTGCTCTCTCTGCTATGTGCTACGAGAACTTGGTGGGTCATGCTTCGTGAATTCTTGCTATGCGAACTCGGTGCGTCATTCTTAGTGAATTGGAGCCGTGAACTGGTGCTTGGTGCTCCGTGAATTGGTGATTTGTGGTTTGTGGATCGGTGGTTCGTGCTGCGTGAATTGGTGGCTCATGCGTTGTGCTTTGGTGCAACTTGAATTGGCCATCGTGCTTTGCGGATCGGTGGTCCGTGCTTCGTGGATTTTTGGGGCAACTTGAATTGGCCACCGTGCTTCGTGGAATTGGCCGCCTGATACGCGAATGAGCCTTTGTCTACTTTCCTGAACTTCAGTGTTGGTTGGAGGCTTAGTCGACATGGCTGAATCAAGTGAGTGCCCTGTATCTACCTCATATCTACCTCATCTAGAGCCCACACCTCCGACTCCTTTTTTCTTAAAAAAAACGTTCTCTTGCATTGTGTGTGTGTGTGTGTGTGTGTGTGTGTGTGTGTGTGTGTGTGAGAGAGAGAGAGAGAGAGAGAGAGAGAGAGAGAGAGAGAGAGAGAGAGNTGTGTGTGTGTGTGTGTGTGTGTGTGTGTGTGAGAGAGAGAGAGAGAGAGAGAGAGAGAGAGAGAGAGAGAGAGAGAGAGAGAGAGAGAGAGGCTCTCTCTCTAAGGGGAGGGAGTTGCACGGGCTTGGTTCAGGGTGAACCAAGCCCATTCATTTTTCTCATTCTTGCGTGTTTGTGTGTGTGTGTGATATTTATATATATTGTCACATAACTATGAACTAAAAGAGCACACTTTGCGGAACAAACGGCAAAAGTAAAATATTAAAAAACACGACAAACATGAAGGGCGCATTGAAACCATTCATTGTTCTCATTCTTCTTTCAACTCCCCCTTCACCGTGCCTCTCACGTACAAGGCTCGATACGTTGATGAATTTGAGCGCGAGCTGCGCCCATCCCCATGTACCATAACGTCCCACTTGTACACTGTGAGAAAGAGGCAGAGTGAAGGGGGAGGTGATAAACATAGGGAGGAGAGATGGAGAAGAGACAAACAAAGAACGATAAGATGAAGGCAAAAGAGGATAAGAAAAGGCTCAAGAATGAGTCTGTCCTTGACGATAGAGAGGACATACACTGTAAGGATGAGGTGGATGAACACATGGAAGACCTAGCTGAGCATTCTCAGTGGAATGACTGCCACGACGGTTGGCATTGAGCATGCCCACCATACACCCCCGACAAATGGCATGTCGATTGCAGGCCAAAATGAAGGAAGAACGGTCACCACAAAAGACCATGCATCCAGTGTAGCGCCCATGGCCGCAAAATGGACATATAGTGTCCGGATGAGAAGGGTGCCTGCAGTCAGGAACGGAGGGACAATCCTCTGCACACATGGATGCAGAAACCATGTCATTGTAGTGATTGTGACAGAGACGATGGCGGCTACAGCTGAGTGTAACAGTGTTTGTGGCTGTGCAAAGGAGAATGTCGCAAAGTGTTGGTACATTGTGTTGCTGCAGCATGGGGCCAGAGGAATGATCTTTGACATAAAAGGGATTGCAGACGGTTTGTTGTGGCAAGAAAACAACATCATTTTGTAAGAAACCAGTGACATCAGTCATGGCATGGACCATGGTGTCGTTGTCCCACAGTTCCCAGTGGTCATAGGCATGTACAATGGCCATGTAATGGCCAGGCCCGTGCACAATGTAGGCAAAGATGTGGGATGGAGGATTAAACCACTCAGCTACTCAAGCATTGCGTAGTTCAAGTTGACCGTCCCTCATTGCTACTTGTAGGATAACAATTGTAAAGCCTCCTTCGTGGGTATAATTACAATCCTCTGGCTATAGTTGGGGAAGATCAGCATCAAGGTGAAGGGCGATTGCAAGGAAATCTGATGGTGTATAAAACGGGTGGTGGAGAATGTGAAGACGAATATTGGTGAGGTTTTCAGGCTGGTTTGTTGGATGCTGGCCAACAATTAGCAGATCACCCAGATGGTGTTGCAAACCCAAACTGTGTTGGGTTGTTTGCTGGTCCGTTATTTGCAGATCACCTATGTGGTCTGCGCGTGGCGAGCACAAATTTTGTGGCTCATCCGAACAATGTTGGTCAGCCATTTACAAATCCCCCATGTGGTTTACACCTTGTGGGGTCAACTACAATCTGGGCAGATCATGTTCCAATCCCTCAACGTTTAGGGCTGCATCTTGAGTAGGGACCACATCGTGTTGTATAGGTGAGTCGTGAATATCTAACACCGCAGGGTAAAAACATGGTGTCGTGGCTGCCTGCAGGCAGCTGGACTGTCTGCAGAAGGCATAGGAGCGGATATTGCCGTTTGAAACTAAGGAACCGCAACAACCTGTGGAGGCGGCACAAAGAGAATCGGGGCAGACAAAGAAACAGGTTGCTGATCCCCGGACAAGTGACGATGTCGGGAATGTCGTTGGCGATACACAACTAGAGGAGTAGTGGTGTTGCAAACAGAAGATGAACTTGTCCCTAGCAACGAAGGTGGAACAATGGGAGCAATGGAAGCTGGAGAGTCTGTTCGCAAGCAAGAGCATGGAGGAGATGGGGGTGGTGAGGAAGAACGCAACCTTCTGCGGCCAAGCACAAAAATAAATGAGAGGAGGGTGGATTGGGCAAAATTTCGAAATAAAGGATGTGAGTGTCGGAGAGACTGTGATGCTCTTTGCACTGGAGCTGCAGGAGAGGAAGCTGCAAATAGGCAGCCCCGAGGGAGAGAAGGAAGCTCGGGAACAACAACTCTAATGGCCATATGCCCAACAAACACTGTGCTATAAAGATGTATCCAAGGGGACGCTGGACCCGATTTCCAGCAGGTGCTGCTCCCCACAAATAGATGGAGCCTCCCTGACGGTGCTAGATGTGTCTGCTCTTATCAGCACACCTAGCATCCGATCGGGCTGATTCAAAAAAAAAAAAAAAAAAAAAAAAAAAAAAAGGAAGCTGCAACAGTAAAAAGTGCAGTAGGGGGAATTACAGCTATGGAAACTGCTGTACTGAAAACTGCAGCAGTGGAAACTGCAGTAGTAGAAACTGCAGCAGCGGAAACTGCAGCAGTGGAAACTGTAGCAGTGGAAACTGGAGCAGTGGACACTGCAGCAGTGGAAACCGCAACACTGGAGACTGCAATAGTGGAAATTGGGCTAGCAGAAGATGAGCAAGCATGGGCAGGACGAGAGCGTCATGGGGGCGAAGAAGAAATTGGATGATACAAGGACCATCGCAACATGTGTCGGAACCACTGAGAGACGCGTCACATGCGTAGGATAGCGATGTTGCCGGAAGTGCATGTAGCAAGTCCACCCCTTAGCAAGGGTTGGTAGGGAATGCCCACGCGAAAGCATGCGACGAGTAAGTGTTGTTGCCGTAGTTCGAAAGTCCTGCCAATTGTTACAGATTTGTTCAAATCTGGTCAATTGCCCAGTGAATACACCAGCCGGTTGATGGGAAGGCATGTTGGAGGCCGCACTTGGATAACGAATGACAGGGAAGTCCCAAGCAGCCGCTTTATCAAAGACGCTCATGCGAAGCGAGCCATCGGAACGGACCTGTAGATGCATACCTAAAAAGGTACAGGAGACATCGGTTGCTGTAGTCTCCTTCCACTCAAGCCCATAGTGCTCCGGTGGAGGAGGTAATTGTCCCCATGAAAGAACATCATCAATGAGGCAATAAGTGAAGGTGTACTGCTGAGCGGCTTGAAGATCATGTTGATGAATCTCATCAAGAAAGCGTGCTTCATCCCAATACAGCGTCAGATTAGAAATTTCTGGGCCAGCATTTGTTCCCATTGGAATACCGATAATTTGTTTTGAAGCGTGCCATATATCTATATATATATATGGAGAGAGAGAGAGAGAGAGAGAGAGAGAGAGAGAGAGAGAGAGAGAGAGAGAGAGAGAGATTGCCACACTGTCCACTATGTCTTTCTGACACGTGCTGCTCGGTTTCCTCTTTGGTTTTTGCCTTCCAGAAAATGCTCCAAGATGCACACACAGCATCATGGCTCTCATGACAAAGCCACTTCCAACAACTCGCCGGCGAAGAGCAACTGCCAAGCAGATTGATTGTTTCATTCATACATTACAAGACCTGCTTAACATGAGTTGCACTCCTACAGTTGAAGGCGGCTTCCGACAACTCTCCACGGCCAGTCGTCAATAACACCATTCGGACCCATCAAACTGAGACACCCACATACACACATGCACTTGCACACGCACGGTAAAAACTCTGCACGTAAGCACATGGCATACATACAAGATGGGTTGATCACAAACATATTGAGAGAACACACCTAACAAACTCAGAATTGGGACCTTAAGCAAAAAGGTCAATGTGACAATGGACATCATTTTCTCAGAAAGTTCAGAGTTCTTTCACTGCAACTTTGTGGGTACGTACACAGCACAAATTTGCCACATGTAATGACCCGTCAATACACGGACTGAAACATACAGTCGATTTCTGATTTCTGCTCATAGGATGCATGCCGTACTAAGTTCCCTGCCTGTCGATGTGTTTGCTGGGTCTGAGTGCGTGCTTGTTTGTGGGTTGCATGACTGTGTGTGGCCTGCATGTTGTCGGAGTGCCTTGAGTGTGTGTGTGACCTGTATGGGTCTGTGATGGCTGGGCAGGCCCGTGGGAGGGCCGGTACTTACCT